CGCCTCAAAAATTTGTGCATATAGTTGCGGTTGAAGAAACTTACTTCGTCCTCAACGGAGCGGAAGAGATCGAAGTTAATGGCGTTAATTTGCTTGCCATGAATACTTAGGAAATACTTGATTCGGGTATCACTAAGTTCGTCTAGCTGAGTTTTATAGAAGGCAACTGAAGTAATTGAGCGATAAACGCAGTCCCGGAGAACACGACAGACACGTGCAACCATCAGGGTACGAACTGAAAAAAGCAACTTTAAATGGAAGTTCAAAGAATGAAGCATAATACAACAAGGGAAAAGGGGCGCAAACGTAGCTGGGAGTGGGCGATGCGCGCGACTCTGGTTCGTCTGCACTCCTTTAGGGCCGAATGTACGGAAGGAAGAGATCACCTTCTCGGTGAAAGACGCAGATGAGCAGGTTTAGTCGTACCACCACCCCCCCACCCATCAGATGCGTTAGCGCCTCCTATCCCTTCCCCAAGAAGGCTTCGCTTAGAGCACAGACAACCAGATTGGTCAAGAGCTCGCAAAGAAGACATAGTCTCCGGAAGCTTTAGCCTCGATCAGTGGAGGGCGCTGGGAAGTGGTCCCTCCCTCCCTCCTAACCACGTTCGTTTGCACCGATCACTCACCTTTAAGCGGAATGTAGGAGACGATTCTGTCCAGAACGCTAGTGGGTAGATTTAGTAAAGGTGAAAACTGTATCTGAAAGAGGCAGATGAGATGAAAGCCAAGGAAGGAACACTAAAAAAACCAGCAAAAAACTCACATCGTTATCTTCTTGTGAGATCAGAAAGGGTGAAAAAGAAGGTGCAGTTAGTGTGTCCATGTTATCAAGAAGTGTTGATAGAAAATCAGATGATGGCACCAAATTCATTGTGTGTGAATACCCGAAAAGCCGCTCAGCGGCTTTTAATCAGATCCTGGAACCAAATGAATCAATACTTGTCAATACTCAATAGTAGTAGTGTATTTTTGAGCATTTGCAAAAGTTGGAGGATTTCAAGGAGTCGATCGAATCTTCATGGCCACCAATCTGAACAGTTTCTCGAAAATTACGTGGGTTATTGGAAAATTTCTTTGCGTGCCAGG